ACTCAGATTGTAATTCATTTGTGGCCACCTACACTTCACCCTATCACCCTACAAGCCCCAAATGATGACTTAATGATTGTAAACATTTTGGGGGTAGTAAAGTTGGTATCTCTTTGAGTATTTTGGTTCTTATCAGTAACACCCAACTCTTGACAATTCTCTCCATATAAGAAAAGTCTTATGATGGAGATTTGAAGGAAAGAGGTCTCAGAGGAATTTTTTTTTTCTTACTTATGGTATTTTTGTGACTTCAGTGATTTGGAGAAGGACAGAGGAACAAGGACCTTCCAGGATTTTTTTTCATAGCTGTAGTTTACTCGTTATGCAGTACCTTTATGAAAGCTATTCCTTCTCAAGGATGCTGATGACCGATTGCACATGAGTGTGATGTGTGTAGGTAAAAATGACAGCCCACTTAATATGTAGTGCCTTTTTCAGGCATTACATCTTAGGCATGACGTTTTGTTTGATTTTATCAACATATTTGTGGAACAAACATATCTTCATACATCTTTATACGTCAGTATAGTTCTCTCCACTCAATCACTTGTCTTTGACGTTGGTGACTGTGATACTGTGGTCTGTAGTAAGGAATATGTATTTGGTTCTTCTCCCAGTTCCTGGCAAAGAGATCCTAAGATCCTTGGAATTTCCTGTGATAAGAGCCATAAAGGTGTCTTTGTTATGTTAATGAGGTGACTTTTGGACCTTTCCTAAAGATAGGGACTGGTTGCCAGGGGAACGAACCCTGTGATTAGAGGGTTGGAACTTTCAGTCCTACTAGATGACCTCTGGGGAGGGGAGAGGGATGGAGACTGAGTTCAGTCACCAATGGCCAATGGTTGCATCAATCTTGCCTGTGTGATGAAGCCTCCATAAAAACCTGAAAGGATGGGGTTCAAAGAGTTTCTGGGTTGGTGAACATGTGGAGATTTGGGGAGAGTGGTATACCGGGAGAGGGCGTGGAAACTCCATGCCTTGTTCCCATACCTTTCCATCTGCATCGCTTCCATCTGGCTGTTCCTGGGTTATCTCTTTTTATAATAAGCCGGTAATCTAGTAAGTAAAAGGTTTCTTTGAGTTCTGTCATTGCTCTAGGAAGTTATTGGAACCCAAAGAGAGTGTCGTGGAAACTTGTGATCTATAGCTGGTTAGTCAGAAGCACCGGTGACAACCTGGACTTGCGATGGGCACCTGAAGTGGGGAGCAGTCTTGTGGGACTCAGCCCTTTACCTGTGGGATCTGATGCCATCTCCAGGTAGATAGTGTCAGAATTGAGTTGACCTGTAGGACACCCAGCTGGTGTTGCAGAACTGCTTGGTAGTGTGGCGAGAAAACCTAAACGTTGGACTTGGGAGCAGAATAGTAGACACTGGTTGCTAACTCTTTTCCTCTATTGATCACTGTGGATGATGGATCAATATGGGTGGATATTGATCAGTATGGATGGATGAAGTTGTGACTCAGCTGGAACACAGGTGACCGAATCTGAGATCTTTGACCCACTGCTCCTGCCAGAATCTCCCGGTCTCCATCCATACTGTTGTACTCCACTTGGTTGCTTAATCCCGAAAGTTCTTTCTGTATTTCCTTAACTGCTAACCCTCTCTTGGCTCTGTTCTAATCTCCCATTGTTAATTATCTCTGATGCCCTTGAAGGGTGGAATTGGGTTGCATTGGGACATTGTGGTGCATTGTTTTCAAGAACTGAGAAAGGATATGGGCAGATTATTATCCTGGTCATGGATCAATAGGAGTGATTACAGGATATATCCAAAGAACGGGTGCATCCTAATCAATGAGGGGTGTGTGAGTGCATGCTTGTGGAGTGTGTGTGCATGAATATGTTGTGCTTACATATTTGAGTGTGGGGAGATGGGGTTGTATTCATTCTCCTAACTTTTCAACCAAATCCACAGTTGTAGAAAATGGTAGTGCTGTTTGGATAGTTTTGACCATTTAACGTCTTTTCAAGGACTCAATGATTCTCCCAAATCCCAGAACTGCAGGTCTGTCCTAGTGAATTCTAGCTAAATTTGCCATCCACCCTGCCCCAAAGAAATCCAGCAAGTCACCAGCTTACGTAGAGGTTCAGTGTACAAGTTCCCCAGCCAGCTGCCATTCGGACCCTAGACCATATTTCCCACCAGAACAGTGAAATCGTCCTGGGGTTCTAAGCTCACCCACACAGCCCAGTGTGGCTGTCATGCGTGTGAAATACTGTGCGCTTATATTGAAGCGTCACAATGTCCCTGCCTTGTCTGGCAGGGAATAGGGGATGTGGTCCAAAGAAATGGCTCATCTCGACTTGAAATGATATAAGGAAAGCAGGTGTCTGGTTAGTCTTTCTAACTGTAGCTTTCTCCAGAAAGTAACGGCAGCAGTGAAAACCCACAAAACACTTTTCCTGCTGCCTCTGTCCTTTCATGCCTCCGCACCGCAAATCTTGAGCCTCTGAGCTGCAAGAAGTGAGAAGAGGAAACAGGAGACAGATGCACAGCTTTCAGGAACGGAAGAAAGGAAATGCCTGCTAGTCACCGATGGTGCTCTCCCTGAAGATGGTATCCTTGGGCAGTCCTGCTGCTGAGGGGCAGAAATCTGGTAGCAACATGGAGAAAGGACGGCATTTAGGCAACCCCTCTTTCTGCATAGGTATTTTCTCCCAACTGCATCCTTAATACAAAGGGTCTGCACGTTTAAATGCATTTAGTGAAAAACCCGTTTGTATATGTGACCCATACTTCACTAATACAAATGAACATTGTGATTAGCAAAATAAACACTCATTTGAAAGTCAGAGCAATGTGCTGTCTTTTTTTTTCCTTATTAAAATGCTCTCCTTTGGATTCGAAAAGTTTATTGTGTCTATGATGGGGCTTCATTCCTCTCTACAGCCACATTTTTAGATTTATTTGCATTAATTCACGTTGTCCTGACCACTGCACATGAGTGCTTCTCTGTATTTTCCTTTGAGTTAATCTTTAGGTCATTGCAAGCTGTCTCCCCAAATGCTTTGTCTTTGTTTTACTTTATTTCATTGGAATGGCCCATCCCAGCAGGCAAGACACTCTGGTAGATGGTGCCCTGAGCATCCTCCTCTGAGGATGGCTGGTTTCTTGGGCATCATTTTGTTTTCGGTGAAGCCCAGATGGACACAGCCCATTGGGATCAGCTTTGGAGGGAAGCACGAGTCCTACCGTCATGATCTGAGAAGACGCAAGAGAGACCAATGCAGCATTGACACCCATAGCGTGATCTTGCTTAGCGTCATCCTGTGGGTCCCCGATCTTGCAGGGTGGCTTTCATTGGGTGACCTCACATATGCTTATTCTATCATAGGCATCCTCATACTTCCTAAATCCTCTCGAAAACCTAGTCCTTAGTTCCGGAGCTCATTTCTCTTTTCCCCACGTCTTCTTTATGGGAAAACATTCTTTCTCCATCACTGCTGATCTCCCAAGAACGGACTTGTTTTTTTGTTCATTTTGCCAAGATTTCTAAAATACAGATGGGACTCAGCATCTCCTCTCTTCTCTCATCCACACTCTTCCTTCCTCCTAAATTCCTCGCTGCTGCCTTTTTTCCATTCAGAGAGCTCATCAACGCCTTTGCAAGGAGGATGCATCTCTTCTGCCTCTCTCGGGCAATCTCCTACCCATAATTGCTTAGAAATCTCTTACTTGGGACTTTTTTAATGGCCACCTTTTCCCGGCAGGTGTTTGGAAGGGAATCCATTAATTTACTGTAAATTTCCAGTCTTGATTACAGAACTGGGGTGACTGAATTGGGTGTGATCCCTGGAGAGCTGCCCACTGTGTATCAGTTTGCTCGGGCTGTCCTAACAAATACCACAGACTGTATTTACAGGCTGAAACAACAGACATTTATTGTCTCCCAGTCCTGGAGGCTGGAAGTCTGAGATCCAGGTGTGGGCAGGACTGGATTCTCCCGAGGCCTCTCTGCTTGGCATGTAGATGGCCATCTTCTCCCCGTGTCCTCACGTGGTCGTCCCTCTATGCGTGTCTGTGTCCTCATCTCCTCTTCTCATAAGGACCCCAGTCCTATTGGATCAGGACCCACCCTAATGACCTCACTTGACCTTCATCACCTCTTTAAAGACCCATCTCCTAATACAGTCATGTTCTGAGGTCCTGGGGGTTAGGGCTTCAACATATGAATTTTGGGGACACAATTCAGCCCATAGTAAGCTATTAGCCAGTTTGTTATCAGAACGTGATATTTATTCTTATCACTTCTGGGACCTTTGCACATTTCACAGGATACCCATATCTCAACATGTATCTATATCCATATCTTAACATCCGTCTGTACCTGAGTCTTAACCTCTACCTATATGCATGTCTTAACATGTCTATACCCATAACATCTGTCTGTATCGAATCTTAACATCTGTCCATAGGCATATCTTAGCATCTGTCCATCTAAATGAATATCTTAATGTCTATCTATACTATGATCTTAATTTCTGTCTATACACACGTCAACATCTACCTATACCTGGATCTTAATGTCGATCTATGCCACATCTAACATCTGTCTATACTGGGATCTTAATGTCCGTCTATGTCCATATCTGACATCTGTCTATACCCGGATCTTAATGTCCATCTATGCCCATATCTAAAATCTGTCTATACCTAGCTCTTAATTTCTATCTATACCCATATCTGACATCTGTCTATACCCGGATCTTAATGTCTGTCTATGCCCACATCTAACGTCTGTCTACACCCATACTTTAATGTCTGTCTATGCCCATATCTTAACATCTGTCTATACCTGGATCTTAATGTCCATCTATGCCCACATCTACAATTTGTCTATACCCAGATCTTAATGTCCATCTATGCCCATATCTTAACATCTGTCTATACCCAGATCTTAATGTCCATCTATGCCCATGTCTTAACACCTCTCCATGCCTGGATCTTAATGTCCAGCCATGGCGCAGCCTTCACGCATGCGGTGGTCTCCCACAGGTTCTGGACGTACCATGATGAGCGCTTCCTCTACATGCTGATGGAGTTTGTGCCGGGCGGCGAGCTCTTCAGCTACCTGCGGAACCGCGGGCGCTTCTCCAGCAACACCGGGCTCTTCTACTCCGCAGAGATCATCTGCGCCATTGAGTACCTGCACTCGAAGGAGATTGTCTACCGGGACTTGAAGCCGGAAAACATACTGCTGGATAGAGATGGGCACATCAAACTCACCGACTTTGGGTTCGCTAAGAAACTGGTAGACAAGTAAGTGACCATTCTCACCCATTTCCCCCAGCCCCATTCCCTGCCTCTAACAACCACCATTCTCCTCTTTGGTTCTATAAGTTCGTATTTTTTTTTAGATTCTGCATATAAGTGAGATCATAAACTATTTGTCTTTCTCTGTCCGACTCATCTCACTTAGCATAATGCCTTCCAGGTCTGTCCATTGTTGTCACAAATGGCATGATTTCCTTCTTTTTTATGGCTGAATAATATTCCATTGTATATATATGCCACTTTTTCTTTATCCCTTCATTTGTCAATGGACTCATAGGCTGTTTTCATGTCTTGTTTATGGTCAATAATGCTGCAGTGAACATGAGGGTACAGATACTGCTTCAAGATCCTAATTTCATTTCCTTTGGATAGATACCCAGAAGTGGGATTGCTGGATCATATGGTAGTTCTATTTTAAATTTTTTGAGGAACCCCCAAACTATTTTCCGTAGTGGTTGTGCCGATTTACATTCCCACCAACGGTGTACAAGGGTACCCTTTTCTCCACATCCTCGCCAACACTTGTTATCTCTTGTCTTTTTGATGATAGCCCTTCTGACAGGTGTGAGGTGATGTAAGTTAGCTTCTCTTTTTATCAGACTTATACACGTGCGTATTCTGAGTCCAGGACTCGCAACAGACCACCACTTCCAACTCTCAGGGCTGCGCAGCCAGTTTTCCTGGTCCATCTCCCGGGCAGCTTCCAAAATTGTGCCGCTGTTGTCTCCTTGTTCCTTCTTAATCCTTGTGGGTTACACTTTTTATCAGTCTTCATTGTCTTTTGGGAGGGAGCAGAGGTGAATTTGTTTAATTCACCGTCTTTGACAAGAAAGGATTATACATTTAAACATATTTAGGTCATCTTTAGTTTTGTAAAAAAATTTATGTCTTGCTTTTTATTTCCGATGATAACAAAACACCAAAAAAGTCCTTGCTGAACAAATAGATTCTTAGTTTCAGTGTTTTGCTATGTAAATAAAGGTATAGGACATACATTAGGCATAAATATTTATTTATGCTTCAGATTAATTCTATAATGTATATTTCTTTCTTCTTCTTCTTCTTCTTTTTTTTTTTTGTGAGGAAGATTGGCCCTGAGCTAACATCCTTGCCCATCTTCCTCTATTTTGTGTATGGGACACCCCCATAGCATGGCTTGATGAGTGGTGTGTAGGTCTGCACCAGGGATCCAAACCTGCAAACCCTGGGCTGCCGAAGCGGAGCGTGCTGAAGTTAACCACTGCACCACGGGGCCAGCCCTGCATAATGTACATTTCATAAAGTGGAATTGCAGGGACAAATGTTCTCAACATGGTTAGCACCAGAGAGTTGATATTAAGAAGAATTATATAAAATAAAATCTTACATAGTTAGTTTAAAATACCTTTAAGCTTAATTCATTCCAGTGATCCAGAATGCTCTCTTTAACTGGGAAGAATGTTTACAGCTAATGTGTATATAGTCATGCATTGCTTAAGCACGGGGACACGTTCTAGGAAATGCATCATTAGGTGATTTTGTTGTGAGCACATCATAGAGTGCACTCACACAAACCTAGATTGTATAGCCCACTACTAATCTTATAGAACCACCATCATATATGTGGTCCACCATTGATCAAAACGTCGTGAAGCGGCACGTGACTGTAATTATACACTATATAACGTATAAAAGTACAACATTAGCATAAGTGAGGCTAATGTATTTGCAAAACCCTATGTGTTTCATTTTCATGGTCTTTTACTGCTGTGATGTATAGAGAGCATATTCCCTCCATTAAGAACAATGCAGCGTTTACCATAAAGAATACAGGAAAAGGGCCGGCCCCATGGCTTAGTGGTTAAGTGCGTGCGCTCCGCTACGGGCGGCCCGGGTTCGGATCCCAGGTGTGCACCGACGCACCGCTTCTCCAGCCGTGCTGAGGCCGCATCCCACATACAGCAACTAGAAGGATGTGCAACTATGACATACAACTATCTACTGGGGCTTTGGGGGACAAAAAGGAGGAGGATTGGCAATAGATGTTAGCTCAGAGCTAGTCTTCCTCAGCAAAAAAAAAAGAATACAGGAAAAATGCTTAAAATTTAGATCCCATGCAATTAAGCCGGGAGTATAGGACCCCTCGCCTGAAGCACTGGGGTCTTCTCTTGGAGTCTAAAGGTTTGGTTTTGATCGCAACTGTAGATTTTTAGTCCAAAGAAGGGAGTAAGAGGGAGCTGGCTAATGGAGGTGGGTGATGGAACTTCCTCATTTTCTGTCGGCTCTTTTTCTCCTTCACATCACACATTACTTTTCTAGGTTGTTTTGTTTTGTTTTGTTTTGGGGTTGTTTTGCTGTGGTTTTTGTTGTTGTTATTTTTATGCCCTAATACAATGTAAGCTTTCTTTTTCCCTTAGCCCCAGTGCCCACCAAGTCGCCTAGTACAATTAGATGTTAAAGAGAGGCACACCCCGACAGAGCCCGAGAGAGACCAGACTATATTATTTCTAATATCGTCACAGCTGCAGTCGTAAAATATTCCATTTAGAGGGACAAAGATGTGTGTCCTGGTCCTCTGGACAATTACCGTAATTTATGTTCCTAAAATTTCTCTTTATCTAGAGCAGCGCCATCCGACAGAAATAGAACACAGACCTCACGTGTTAAAGTTTTCCTGTAGCCATGTTTTAAAAAAGAAAACAGGTGTAGATCATTTTAATAGTAAAGTCTATGTTATTTGATAAATCCCAAATATGATCATTTCAACATATATCATTATAAAAGTTGAGTGAGTTTACGTGAATTTTTGCTGTGTTTGAAATCGCGTGTGCACTGTATTCTCACAGGGCATCTCAATTAAGGCACTCAATTTTCATCAGAAATACATACTTGATCTTTCTTTAGAGTCCATAACATTTGCATTTGGAGAATCAGAGTCACAAGCCCAGGCTTTCCAAAAATACTGAATAGTCTTTCAGTAACTGCATTGAGTATCGATTTTTAAATGCAAATTTAAATTAATTAAAATCAGATTAAAATTTCAGATCCTCAGTACGTTTTAAGTATTCGGTAGTTGCATGTGGCTAGTGGCTCCACATTGAACTGGCAGACCTAGAAAATACACCATACTGTCCCATTACTCAAAGAGATGGGGTTGAGTAAGATGAAGACTACATTCCCCACGTTGTGGAAACATTTGCATTGCGGGGAAACTTGGTTTGGGAGCAGTTTCACACTAAATGACTCGTCTTTCTGATGGTCTTTAGAAAGGGGCCTCCTGTGAACATTTTGTAATGCTGTAAAATTTAATGTGATTTTCCCCTGTAGAAGTTCATCTATTCCATTTCTAAGAATAAAGCATATAAAAATGACGTGCTTTTACAGAGAAAAGACCTCACTTTTTTTAAAAAAGTTGGTTTATCACATTGGTGCCACCCCCTATTGGCAGCATGTGGTATATACACAGCATATTAAAAAAAAAAAAAAATATATATATATATATATATATATATATATAGTATACCCTGTATTTATTTTTTTTTAAATCATTTTATTTGGAAGTCTGATTCCAGAAATAAAATGTTTAACATATTCACTTGATTATAAGTTTGGCAAACCATGTTTCTATCCAGTTAATCCATTATGTCCATTTAAGATTAACTGGATGAAGGCAGTTTAGTATATAACGTCAAGCAATTAATTTACTTAATGTGTTGAATCTCAGAAAAGACAGCCTCGTTACCATCTTGATATATCTCTTTTACAAAGAGCTTTGTCTTTCTAGTCGTGGGTAGTGTAGCTTGCAAAAATATTTTTTTGGTCTTTTTTTCTCCTTTTTGTTTGACATTCTCGGCTTGTTAAATGAAGTCCCTGTCTTCTGGGCCAGCCTTGGGGAGGCGGTGCTCGTAGGCACATACACACGGACCCTCCTCTGGTTCAGGATTCACACACCAACCATGACTTTTGAATAAAAATGGAAAGCAATTCACCAAAGTCTCCAGGGATCACTACAGCATAGATGGAACAAAACAGAGCGACTTCATCTCGAATAATATTTTTGAACATATAATTGAGGGAAGTGTGTTTCTCATATTTTTTTATAGCATGGGGTACAATGTATTTAAGCTTGTTGTAATTAAGTACTCTCCTCACTTTATGAATCTTATGCTCGTTTGCTCATAGTGACTCGATTTATGAGGCTTTTCCTAGATTGTCAGTGACAGACAGTGTTTTTCTCTCTCTCTCTCTGTTTTTTTTGTGGTGAGGAAGATTGGCCCATCTGTCACCAATCCTTCTCTTTTCACTTGAGGAAGATTGTCCCTGAGCTAACATGTATGCCAGTCTTCCTCTATTTTGTATGTGGGACGCCGCCACAGCATGGCTTGATGAGTAGCGCATCAGTCTGTGCCTGGGATCTGAACCCGCGAACCCTGGGCTGCCGAAGCAGAGCATGCGAACTTAACCACTACGCCACCAGGCCAGCCCTGATGTTTTTCTCTTCTAACTTGATCTTACAAAACTCATGTTTTCTTATAGTGATATTTCTTATTGCTGTATGAAACTATTTTACAAACATATTTTACATTATGCACATAGCCCGCCTAAAAGATTTAGAGATGAACTAGAATTATTCTTGATTTTTTGAAATGATCAAAAGAAGCTACTGATACATTTAATTTGATTTTATAAGTAAAATACAGAAGATACCTTCTCAGATATGGTATTCTTTCTCTGCAACAGCTCTTTCTTGGTTATTCTATTGTAGCTATTTAAATTCAAATGTTAAATTCAGTACCATCCCTTAGATTTTTATTTTTGGCATCTTGCTGAGGATAATATGGAACCTAATCTTTTACAATTGTTACTTCATATTTCCAAGCAGAGAGAAAAGTAGAGAGGATAGTTACTCTTGGTGTCCCCAACATTAGGCATCAAAGCCTTGCCACCTAATTTGATCTTTTTACCCTTTCTCCCATTTGTGTTTCTTGAATTATTTTAAAGGAAGT